CAAAATGTCAGTGATGTGTTAACAAGTACTGCAAGATGATTAAGACCATTGTGGATAGATCAAAAAGCTATGATTTAGTCTTTTGTCCTCGTGAATTGTAATTATTATATTAACGTAATTAATAAGTATTATTCTCTATATACACACACACATTATGTATGTATATATATATATATATGTGTGTGTGTGTTTTCCATGAAAAGTCACACTTGTTCACCACCACACGTTGTGAAATGAATAGAAAATAGAGTCAAGACATTGACAACGTTAGAAATAATGATTTGTATTAGAAATAAGATTTGTTTTACATCCAACTTTGCTTTTGTCAAAGAATCCTCCATTTGCAGCAATTACAACATTGCACCAAAAACCAGACATTTGCAGCTAGAACAGCAGTCATTTACCACATAAGCAGTGTACAGAGTGTATTTCTTTACAGTTAAGACTAGTTTAAAGTTATCTACAGCTTTTCCTTCAACATTGAGGACATTTCAATGTGACCCCAAACTTTTGAACGGTAGAGTATATATTCAGGACTCCCTTGAAAAAGGGGTTCTTTATCTCAATGGGACTTTTCTGGTTAAATAAAACAAAACTAGTTAAGCCACGTATTTGTTTCAGCTGTCTATAATAGGATATTCAAGTATGTATAAAAACTAAAACCGTCATTTTTTTCACAGCAAATGAACTGTATTTAGAGCCATGCAAGAGTTATGTACAACACATTTTAAGAGAATGACAGACAATCTAACTTGAACATATAGAATAATATTATTGTCACCACATGAATGCTAGTGACTCCTACTTCTGTTATTTTGTTGTAAATAGAAACATTTATTCAATACATTTAAATATGTTTCGATTTTATGTAATTAAGATGAGATTTGTACATTTTTGATTTACAATGACCATGAGTAGAAAACTGAAGGGCGATCGAACTAAGCAACAAAATTTATTTATTTTAAATTACAATGTGAATCCTAATCTGCATTAGCACTTGCCACATGTATTACAGCAAAACATGAATGCATTTACTTAAAATGTGTGTGTCTGTGCTGCCTTTGACTGGCAGGGTTACAACATTCATGGTGAATACCTAAACTCTCTCGCCAGCTCTTGTGTAATCATCACGTTTGAGTTCGGTTTTGATATGGACGCTGTAAAGTCAATAGCTATGTTTATTGTACTCATATTGGTATAAAATGACTGTCATACGAATTCACACGACTCCAAACGCTGTAGGAAAGACCATACATAGACTCTTAATGAAGCTAACAATAACCACAACAATGCTGTCAATGTACATTTCGTGTTTATCTGGTCAGTTCGGTTCAGTTTCCTCCCTCGCTCCTCTGTCATCAACAGAGCCGAATGGAGCGCGTTCACGCGAGGAACGCACGCTCGTATGGTTCTCATGCACGCGAGCAGAGGGGCTTGGCAACGTCTTGACCAATCAGCGAGCTGCGGATGCTAGAGCGGCGGAAGAGCGGGAAAAAGAGAGCAGAGTTTGTTGCACTAAAGTGAAGATTAAAAGAAAACCTATTGATTTAAAAAGAAAAAAAGTTCAGGATGACAAGGGGCACTAAAATCCCCACAAAATCCGACCTTAATGAAAGCTGTAGGTTCTCTGTCAGCTGAGGTCGAGCTGTTTTAATTTGCATTGAGTTCTATGGGGAAAATTTCTGGGTGGCCCACGTGAATTTAGTCTGGTCTAGTCTGCAGTACCGCGAGAATCCCCTGAGCACATAGGTTATTCAGCTATAAGCTAGCAATACCCTATCCAGTTAATATAATACATCCATGGATCAGACCCAGACGTACATGTAGGAAATGATCATGGACCAGAGTTTACACATGGAAAGACCAGACATACATGTAGGAAATGATAATTGAGTTAGATGATGGGTTGGAGGCCTGTGTTTTTGCAAAAATTTGCAATCTTCTCCAAGACAGACCCAAAAGAGCTGCTGACACATAACACGCTACGTTCATATTTACACACAAATATCACACGTAAGCAACACTAAAACACATTAATTTATGTCAAACGCAAAAACCACGAGACACAAATTCCTCCTCATTAAAGTGTAAAGAAACTTTCTGATTAAATACACAGATAAAAACACAGAATCCCGCTGCAGTTCATAAATATTCATATGACGAGCTCCGACATTGATTCATTAAAGCCAATCTCTGAAGTATTTATGACGACAACAACCCGTGTGTCAAGAGGACGTTAATAATTCATCTCCAGCTTCAGGAACGACAGACGGACGTTCTCTGGAAGCGTGATCAATACTGAACAAATATTAATAAAATAAAATCGGCTTTTAATGAGAGAGACAGTGTGAATGTTAATGTGTGATTACAGAGGGTCGCGTTCACAGAGTGGGAATCCATCTCCCACAAAAAATGGAAATAATAGCGGTGTAAGTCGTAGGCCGTGACACACACACGCTACATGCACACGCACACGCTATACGCACACACACGTAACATGCACACACACACGCAAAACGCACACACACGCTACACGCACAAACTACATTCACACGCTTCACACACGCACACACACGCTAGTCGCACACACACACACGCACACACGCACACGCTATGCTGTCATTTTCAATTAAAGCCGAGAAGAAGTCGACTTCATACTGTCCGGTGAAGAAGAACCAACACTTTTAAGAACTATATACTGTTTATTTGAACTCTTGAATATCTTCTTTTCTGGTCAAATTCTGAATCACGTCCACAAAACTTTACACTTACTTTTAATTAAAGTCAGAGATTTTATACTTAATTTCTGCTTCTTCATTTTGCCAAAGTTGGATGTTTTAGATTTGCTTCCTTATTATGCTAAAGCTACCATTATATAGTTGTTTCTCCCACCGGAAGTTTGTTTTTCCGAAGCCGACAGTCTCCGCTCAATGAGTTTGTAAGTGTCATGAGTTTGACGACTTCTGGAAGAACACTCTGTGCACGAAACACACGTTTGTCGAAGAACGGAGATAAAAGCTTTGATGTTACACAAGCACCAGATTTAGTTTTTAGCCGACACTACATGACGCGCAAAAGGAGAGAGTTTGTTTATGTTTTGGTGGTACCCAATAGAAAAAGAGGCTAATTTACATTGATTTGCATAGAAATCTACAGAGCTGCTTTGATCATGTGACCTCTGTTGGTAACCCCGACAGGAAGTCCATCCCAGAGGACACTGTTTGGACTGGACTCTGGTTTATCGCAGGGTTATGCTTAAAAATAACCTGCAATAAGTGAATTACATGAAGTGCTACTTCATGTAATTCACTTAGTGCATGTTTTGAAGTAGCAGTTGTATGTTTGTCTGAACTCACGGCTGCTAAAGTGGGAGAGACCAGAGGGAGACCAGAGAAAGACCAGAGAGAGACTAGAGAGAGACTAGAGAGAGACTAGAGAGAGACTAGAGAGAGACCAGAGAGAGAGAGCAGAGAGAAAGCAATGAGAAAGCAGAGAGAGACCAGAGAGAGACCAGAGAAAGACCAGAGAAAAGACCAGAGAGAGACTAGAGATAGAGAGCAGAGAGAAAACAGAGAGACACCAGAGGGAGACCAGAGAGAGGCCAGAAAGAGACCAGAGAGAGACCAGAGAGAGACCAGAGGGAGATTAGAGAGAGACCAGAAGGAGAGCAGAGAGAGACCAGACAGAGACCAGAGAAAGACTAGAGAGAGACCAGAGAGAGACCAGAGAGGGACCTGAGAGAGACCAGAGACGGACCAGAGAGACCAGAGAGAGTCTACAGAGAGACTAGAGAGAGAAAAAGCAGAGAGAAACCAGAGAGAGACCAGAGAAAGACCAGAGAGAGAGAGCAGAGAGAGAGAGACCAGAGAGAGAACAGAGAGAGACCAGAGGGAGACCAGAGAGAGGCCAGAAAGAGACAAGAGAGAGACCAGAGAGACCTGAAAGAGACCAGAGAAAGACTAGAGAGAGACCAGAGAGGGACCAGAGAGAGACCAGAGAGGGACCAGAGAGACCAGAGAGAGAGACCAGAGAGAGACCAAATAGACCAGTTCAGAGAGAGTTAAGAGAGACAAGAGAGAGACCAGAGAGACCAGAGAGAGACCAGAGAGAGACCAGAGGGAGACCAGAGAGAGGCCAGAAAGACCAGAGAGAGACCAGAGGGAGACCAGAGAGAGACCAGAGAGAGGCCAAGAAAGAGACCAGAGAGAGACCAGAGAGAAACTAGAGAGAGACCAGAGAGAGACCAGAGAGAAACTAGAGAGATACCAGAGAGAGACCAGAGAGAGATTAGAGATAGACCAGTAGGAGAGCAGAGAGAGACCAGATAGAGAGCAGAGACCAGAGAGAGACCAGAGAGACCAGAGAAAGACCACAGAGAGACCAGAGAGACACCAGAGAGACACCAGAGAGGGACCAGACAGACCAGAGAGAGAGAGAGACTGGAGAGAGACCAAAGAGAATTCAGAGAGAGTTCAGAGAGACCAGGGAGAGGCCAGAGAGAGAACAGAGAGAGAACAGAGAGAGACTAGAGAGAGACCAAAGATTGACCAGAGAAAGATTAGAGAAAGAGACCAGAGAACAATGAAATGGATGGAATACTGGGAAAGCACGTTCTAATCAGATGTCTGATGTGGAAGACTGGGAGATATCAGGAAAAACGTGGATTTGCATCGACTCTATCAATCTCACCATATTTATAAATCCATGCTAACCTATGCTAACTCCACGTGGATCGGTACCAGAATGTTCTGACCCGTTTCGGGGCAAAGAAATCTCGACGTTCCTTTTGTTTCATCTTTTGGAACGTGTCAGGATGACCTCGCTCTCACGCAAATCATGAACACGTCTCGGCTCGTCAATTACAAAGTCTTATCCCGCTATCTCTCTCTCTCTTTTTCTGCCTCAGCGAAATTGATCCTGAGCCGGGGATTTGGCTCCTATCTGCGGTGGTGCTGTCACGCTGCCGGGTTTTTCCGAGATGTTATAAAACCTCACGGTAAATGTCAGCGGATCTGTCGGCGGTGACACGGGAGGCTTCGGCGTCGGGGTAATGTCCGGACCCTGACACGGCCGAGCGGCGGAGGCACGGCTGATCCCCCATGTGCTTTCTAAGCCATCAATGGATCCAAACAGGAGAACAAGACGGGGAAATCCCACAAGAAAAATGGTGTTTAGAGCGCGCTGTCAGTGTGTAGCTGGTCCTGTCACACCAGCGGAGATATATCCATTTTCCAGGTCTTTACCAATGGTTTTTCTCCTTTGTTTTTCCTGACAGATGTTGGAGGAAGTGTAGGAGACAGAAATTCATATTCATGTTACACAGAGGAGGTTGGTTTCAAGAAATGCAAGATTGTGAAATTGTGGTGGTTTTTGGGAGAGAAAGAGCGAGTGTAGGTAGGAGAGATATTGACAAGTCGGCCTGAACACATAGTAGTAAAAAAATATATATCTCAGTATTATTACCGAGATATAAGCTTGGTAGCATTTAGCTTCCAAGCTCCTTTACTGTGGAATCAGCTTCCCATTTATGTTAAGGAAGCAGATACGGTCTCCACATTCAAGGCCAGGCTTAAAGCACTCTACTTTAATTTAGCATATAACTAGGTAATATATAATATATGGTGTATATATTATATATATATGCTGTATTATGTTATATATTATACAATATATGTATTATGTTGTGTATTATGTTATATATTATGCTGTATGTTATGTTATGTAATATATATAATGTATATAATATATATGGTATATATAATATATACCATATATATAGGTTTGCTTGGATCGGTTTGCACACCTGGTGTGCAATCCATTAATCTTGGTGCTGTAACCTAGACTAGCCTAGCCGTGGCTGCTGCTGTCTCGCCTCCTTTCAGATATGCTCTCTTTATTCAAGGCTAGGTTTAAAACAGTCCTCTTTAGTTTAGCATATGGCTAGGAAGGTAAGACTCAGGGAAGGCTAAACTCCTCAGAGTGTCAGTCAAGCTGCATAGGGAGTCAGTTTGCTGGGAGAAGTATGGTAACTTGAGCACTATCCTCTCCTCCTTCCTACTTTATCCGTTTAGCATTATTAGGATTTTGACTGTAGTTTGTTCATTGCTATTCACCCGTTGTCCCATTGTCTGTTTCATGGTACGATGACGGGATCTCTGAGCCTGGCCTCCTCCATCTACACCTGCGGACTGCCCCGCCCGACCCGCCTGGGAGTGCTTCAGTCCTGCACCGGACCTGTCCACGTTCAGCGGCCACTGGTCCACGTTCTGTAGCTAGCTTAGGTCCTAGATCATTAGCCTGTCCGTCCGGAGGAGCGGATCCCTTTCTCAAATGGGTCTCCCTTCCTGTGGGTTTCCCTAGTTCTCCCCAAGGTTTCTCACTTTTTCCCACTGGGTTTTTTAAGAGTTTTTCCTTGTCGATGCAGGAGGGTCTTGTTGGACAGTTAGTGTCCAACAGAAAGGATTGGTGATGATCAGGACACTTTAGCATTCTACAACATGTATGGACATTTTCTTCTGTGTGTGCTTTATATTCTTCATGTGTTTTAACTGTTGATTCTCTGACCTGTGTTGGTGATTTCAATGGTTTTGTTAAGTCCTCTGAGATGACTTTTGTTGTGACCTAGGGCTATACAAGAATAAATTGTATTGTATTGTATTGTATTATTTATTATTTATTTGGTTGGGACAGTGCATGTTAATGAAGACTCACTCATTCACCCTGAACTATTGTACATGTGTTTAGTGGTAGGGAAAACCGGAGCACCTGGAGGAAACCAGAGCAGACACAGGGAGAACATGTAAACTCCACTTCATAGGATAACGAGTCAACCAAACGTCCTGTTTCATCAACTGTCCTTACTCAAAATCTGAGTATTTGGAAACCTAATTCACATTGACTAGAACAGGGATGTCCAGACTCTTTCGTAAGAGGCCATTTTAGTTCATCAAACTCGTCCAGGAGCCGACATCACGGACCAAAAAACTGTCTAGACTGGCATCGGGCTGTTCTGAGCTTCAAAATGATCAATAACAGAGCTGAAGTTGGCTGAATGACACATGTTTACCATCTCACAAGCTTCATGAGCATCACTGACAGAAGTGACATAATCAAAAACCACGTCAGGAAAGTTTACATACATACAAGTGAATGTTGTTGTGTTCTGGCGATTAAATAAAATTTGATTCTTGAATGTCTGAAGCCCCTTACTGAGAGCGAGGGTCAGGACAGAGGGAGTTATTCCCGTAGGAAACGTTTCCCTTTGGCCCTGGAGCGACACACCCACCTGCGCCCCTCGACCACGACCCCCTGCGTCCCTCAACCACGGCCCCCTGCGTCCCTCAACCACGGCCCCCTGCCCCCCTCGACCACGGCCCCCTGCCTCCCTCAACCAACGGCCCCCTGCCCCCCTCAACCACGGCCCCCTGCCCCCCTCAACCATCGGCCCCCTGCCCCCCTCGACCACGGCCCCCTGCCTCCCTCAACCACGCCGACCCCCCCTGCGTCCCTCGACCACGGCCCCCCTGCCCCCCGCGACCACGGCCCCCTGCCCCCCTCGACCACGGCCCCCTGTCTCCCTCAACCAAGGCCCCGTGCCCCCCTCGACCACGGTCCGGGGCTTACTTGAAACACAAGCGGAGAACACGAAAGTGCAGGAGAGACTGTGTGAAAATGCGCGTCACAGGAAGACGTACAATATCACGAGCCACCACACCTCACCCCCACTCCCCACCACTCCCACACCTAAACCGGGCTTTAGGCTGTGCATGTGATCGCAGCCTAAAGTTGAAGTCAGAAATAGCAAAATATACATTTACATATAAAAGAACGGATACATTTGTGCTTTAAACATGTAAGTGTTTTATGTCTTTCACACTGAGGTGTCACAGGAGACGACATGTCTCTGATTAAATAAAATTTGTGTTTCTCCAAGAAATCTCAATTTCCTGCAGATTTGAATAAATCCATGAGTCATTATCCCCACTCCTCTGCAGAGAATATATCGCGTTTCCAATTATAACAGGAAGTATCCTGTATCGTAAAGAAATATATAATTCACTTTACGAGGACTGTTGGACCCGTCACAGTAATTACTATAATCACATAAACAAATAGATTTTTGGGCTCGGGATTTAGAATATGTACATTTTCTCAGCCATCGTGCTGTAGAAGGAAGTAGTAAGTGAGTAATGTTTATATTAATAGTCCATTTTACAGACCAAATTTGGACCACTGGTTCATCAAAACCTCCGACCAAACACCCTTCACTCAGTACAGTCAGACCCATTGTGCATGTTTTTAGTGGTAGGGGAAACCGAAGCACTCACTTTTTCTCTGGTTTAACCCGTTTGACGATGAGGAGGGCGAGGAGACGAAGAGCAGAGAGAGACAAGAGAACGGGTTTTTTCATAAAATAAGTCTTTCTAAATGTAAACATCCATCTCTGTCGTCTCCGATCACGGATGTCGCTGCGGACGAGATGTTAGCACCTGTCGCTAACATTCATTATCCCGATGCCAAGCACACAGGCGTCTCCACATAACCATAATTGATGAATCGATATCGGAGCTGGACCTGGACCTCCGCAGCTGCAGGAGAATGGAGTAAATATAAAATCATTTGTTAGCGATGACACAAACAAATGCTGGGCGTGCAGGTGGAGCCGGGTTTAATCTCCCCACGCCTGCTCTTATTGCATTAGAGAGCTCGAACGAGAGGGCTGCTCCTCCGCTGACCTCCGCTAACCGAGTTTCACGGCCGCTAAATCAGAGTCATGATCACGGCCCGGGACCAGAACGAGCCGAGGAGGCACAGGGGAACTCATCACACGGGGCCAGGACTGCACCAAGACGAGAGAGACGCAATTTAGAGTTAGCTTCATTCCCTTCGGAGCTGTTTTAAAGCTTGGGTTTTTTGTGTGTCATAAAGGGAAGGGTCCAAAGACATTGGGGATGATCTAGGAGAGGGGTGTCCAAACTTTTTAGTAAGAGGGCCACACCAAAAATGCCCAGAAGCCGACAATAACTGGATTAAGGCTGTTCTGAGCTTCAAGATTAGGTGTGAAATGTCTATATTGGTTCATCTTTGACTGAGCTGAAGTTCGCTGAATAACACCAGATACATTAGTGCCACACAATACAAAAAATTCAGAACAAAGTCAACAGATTCCAGAAAAAAATTGATCTTAACAACGAGGAACAACATTACTCTGTGAACTTCATGATATTAAAGTTGTGTTAGCGAGGCAGAGGGCCGCGTACAATGACACAGAGGGCCGCAGTTGGCCCCCGGGCCTTAGTTTGGACACGCCTGGTCGAGGACATTTCACATTTAATGACATTTATGGACTTTATCTTCAGGACCACCATGGACTTTATCTTCAGGACCACCATGGACTTTATCTTCAGGACCACCATTGCCATTTTTTAGATTAAAAACAAACTATAGAATCCAACTATTTACTATATCACTGTAAATGTCTAAAAATTAAATGTTTTTGTTTATTATTATGTGTGTGTGTTTGTCTGTTTGTGTGTGTTTGTCTGTTTTTGTGTGTTTGTGTGTGTTGGTTTGTGTGTGTGTGTTTGTGTCTGTTTGTGTGTGTGTTTTTGTGTGTGTGTGTGTGTGTGTGTGTGTTTGTTTGTGTATTTGATTGATGTGATTGAGTTGTCGGTGATCGTTTGTGTTTTTAACCTCTTTACAACAACCGGCGCGCCGTTTTTATGGCAATAGCAGATGTATTTTGAACACCAAACCCCAAAAGCTGTATATCATTTTAAAGCTTATTTTCTTATCTACATTTATCTACAAGTGTAAACTACATCAGACTTTGCATTCAAAAGATATAACACATAATGTGGGCACAAAATAAATCAATTCCGAAATAGTTTTTTACCTTTGGGCTTGTGCTGTACAAATAAATCAGCTCTCCTCCCAGCTTGCAATACATCATTCTCTCTGGAACAGTCCAAAGGAAAATTATATCCACTTGTATTTCCCAAAGTAAAATCCATTCTGCAGAAATAATCCAAAAATGTGCATTTATCTTTAGCGAAAAAAACGGAAAAAACGAGCACAGATGTTGCTTTTTCACTTTTAACGGACTTTTAGCTTTGTTTTTCACCCAAACATCTGGTATCCACGTGTTCCTTAGCTCCTTATCTTTCAAATGAGACTACTTCCGAAAAGCTAAACCAATTTTTGGGTCTGCAAGATGTTGTATATTTTAAATCTACACTATTCAGATGTGACAATATTTGACCATTTGGACATCATAGCCAAAAAGACCTCTGTGCACTCAGGAAAAACCCCAAGGACACAAGATAGTACGGGAATCATAAAGAGGACCAGCTTTCAAAACGGACAAAAATGGTAAATGTCCTGTCTTATGTTGTGCTCAGAGACAATTGAGCGTAAATGGAAGCCAAAGACGTCTCGGAAGCTAGCAGGCACTGAATATACACTCATTAAAAAATAATACTTTTGACATTTAAAAAAAAAAAACACACATAGATTAGTAACTTATAAAGTACCAATAATAAATAAATTAATGTGTTTATAATGAATTCGATAAAAACATGTAAGTAAAGTATTTGGCACAATTTGGCACACTTGTGCCAAAATGTGGCCAAATGTGCACACCTTGATTGAAAAGGAGAAACTGCATAAAAAAACTATAAAACTTGAAGTCTGAAACTTTTAGACAGTTGTAGTCAACAACACAATGCCACAGGGTTTGTAATATGTGAACTTACCAATGAGTAGTATGCCTAGTTCTAATAGAAGGTAAATGACTGTAGCAATGATTAAAGGACAACTCACCCTCAAATCCACTTTTTTTTGCTGATAAACGGTATAAATGAGTGTCCAATAGTGTTGTCTACATATCCTGGTCATAATCTTGTCACTTTGGCGCAAATTAGTTGAAAGTTAAACTTTCTGCCTAAAACCGTCTGTGAGGCGCCATCTGCTGGCGACCTGTATTACTACATTTGAATTTGAATCTGGCGCCAACACTGGCGCCGCAGCAAGACCTGACGTCTGAAGCAAGACCTGACGTCAGCAGCCCCCCGCCCAGAGCAATGTAAACGGCCCAGTCTCGTTCACGCCCCCTTTAGTCCTCCAGGCTACGCCCATTTAGAGGAAGATTTGAACAGGAAGGGCCAAAGTCGCCTCTTCCTCCCAAGGAGGCTGAGGTCCTTCGGAGTGAGCAGGCCTCTGCTCAGGACTTTTTTTTTTTTGACTCTGTGGTAGCCTCTGCCATATATACAGGTTTGTTGCTCTATGCAGGCCTCCTCACTGGGACCCTCTGTGTCAGGAGACCGAACGACAATACTTCTATGCCTCCTATACACATGCCTTCTAAAAGAATGAAACTGGGAAAAACTTGACTGACATTCACTTATACCACATGTGATGCTAAAACCTGGTTCATGGGCATGAACAAGCCCAACATGCTGAATAAACTTAACAAGAGTAAACGTTCTTCGCATGCATTTAGGGCACTGGTATAATGGAGGCATCTATCAAAATTGGTTAATTATTCTGAGCACAGTTATTGGCAGAGTCTTGTCTCCCTCTTCCACAATGCTGACAATGCGCCGCTGAAGAAAGCTCAAAGTGTTTTTCAGGTGAGGTGGGTATGCAATGTTGAACACGAAGTACATACTGTAGGCCGTTATGAAAGCTTCATCAAAAGTTGTGCACTGGCACACATCCACGCCATCCACTTTCACCAAACTGGGCCCAGTACTGGTCATCGCCACTTTCCAGTCATTCTCCATCAGTTGAATCGTTGGATACGGGGTGGAAACATCCCTCTGTAAATAAAAATGGTACAGCGTTTTACAATAAATTACAAAATGTGTCACATTTTAGACAAAAGAGATTCATAGTTAATGGGAATGAGAATTCTAGTCTTGTAAAGTAAATACAATTAAATGTTAATGTCAATTGCAGTAACTCATGGTCAGTGCAGTGCTACACAGAAAAAGTGGGAAATAGGTGATGCAATTAGCTTGGAGCTCATGGCTCAAAGTTATGCTTTATTGTAACCGTAGTGAAATGTGTCCTCTACATTTAACCCACGCACTGTAGGGAAATTCAGATACCTACCTCTCCCAAAGTGATGTAATGTTCAATCTTTTCTCTGAAGATTGAAGGCAACAGAATGAGTCCAGCCCTCAAGTCGATTCCTTAAATTGGGGTGGAAAAAAATTGATTAAATCGTAACAAAAGCAGATCAAATTTCATGTCTACTACCAGAATGACTTGACTACCTGGTAGGTCTTCAACCAGGGCATCATGTCTGACATCAGTGTACTGTTTTGCCACTGTTGACTTCCCCTGGGCCAGCTTAAGTATGTTTGGCAAAACACCGACAAAGCCTTCTCTGAAGCGGTCACAGAATGCCACGACTGTCGGGTGAATTCTGTCAACCTCATCTATACACTGTGGAACATAACACATAAATGAAGCGTCATATTATTGCCACAATAATTTCTATGCTGCATTGTTTGATAAGAAAGTAAAAAGACACATGGTAATTTGACTCCTGGACGCCTCCCTGGTGAGGTGTTCCGGGCACGTCCCACTGGGAGGAGGCCTCAGGGAAGACCCAGGACACGCTGGAGGGACTGCGTCTCTCAGCTTGTGGGACTGCGTCTCTCAGCTTGTGGGACTGCGTCTCTCAGCTTGTGGGACTGAGTCTCTCAGCTTGTGGGACTGAGTCTCTCAGCTTGTGGGACTGAGTCTCTCAGCTTGTGGGACTGAGTCTCTCAGCTTGTGGGACTGAGTCTCTCAGCTTGTGGGACTGAGTCTCTCAGCTTGTGGGACTGAGTCTCTCAGCTTGTGGGACTGAGTCTCTCAGCTTGTGGGACTGAGTCTCTCAGCTTGTGGGACTGAGTCTCTCAGCTTGTGGGACTGAGTCTCTCAGCTTGTGGGACTGCGTCTCTCAGCTTGTGGGACTGCGTCTCTCAGCTTGTGGGACTGCGTCTGTGCTGGCCTGGGAACGCCTCAGGGTTCCCCCAGATGAGCTGTGTTCCCTATCCAAGCACACCGCTTGGATAGGGAAGTCTGGGCGTCTCTGCTTATACTGCTGCCCCCGTGACCCGGCAACGGATGAAGCGGAAGGAGATGGATGAATGGAACCCCCGCGATAATAGAGGGACCACTGTATTGTATTATGCCAAATAACATTCAACTGTTTTGTTTCACTTACTATAGCAGGCATCTTTAAGAAGGGATATTTGGAGAGCACTTCCTCTACTGGCATGCCTTCCATGATTTCACGTCGTCTCCAGGAGAATGTTCGTGTCATGCGGTCTTTGACAGCGGCCATATCAGGTTGCATCTTCCGATACTCACTTTGTAGCACATTAACATGGGCTTCAACAGATGTACAATCCTCACCAACACCAAGTTCCTATGGCATAAACATAAAGTTATGATAATGACTGATAATTGCCATTGAAACTTTTTACGTAAGTAAATGTTATGTACTTACAATTAATTGTCTTGACGGGCGAGACACATTTGAAGATCTAATGCTTTTGGACTGCTTTGTATGGCCAAACTTCTCCTTCAGCTTTCTGACCTCGGTGTCATTGACAAGTGGTGCACGTTCTGCTTTAAATTTTCGTTTCAAAGACATGTGCCAGGTATGCTAGGAAAAAATATGTTTTTAATATATATTAGTTTTAAAAACATTTCATTGTTAAACTAATGGAACAAATACAATGACAGAGAATAAACTTGTTAGTGTCATTGACTCGGCATCATGCGTCTATACCCAATAGCTGCATGGTTCATTGTCGTTTAATCCTTAAAGTAACCTAAACTCATGTGTATGCTTAAATTACTTGGACTTTTCTGTTGATGAATCAACAATCTCTCTTACAATCTCTGAGACGACTGCTATTGTGATTTTGGGCGTTACAAAATATATTTAATTGAAATGAATTATGAATGCTTACATAGCCATTTCCCTCCAAGTCTCTCAGGAAAGGATATTTTACAACCAAAGCCTTGGCTACTTGTGTGTATTCCACATTGGTTGGATACCTGTCTCCAAAAGATTGAGTAATTATAAAATATATATAATAATTATTAAAATGATGTGTACTAGTGCAAAATGCTTACTTACAGAGTGTATTCTGCCATCATTTCATATAGAATTCTGACAATTTTGATGCGGATTTTGGAGACTTGGTGGCATGGTTCCCTGGCATCCAGTTTAATCTGGACATCTTTGGGGAATGTTGGTATGACGGTCACAAGAGGAAGTCTCCTATTGTGAGCCAATTCTCCGCTGGAAAGCATTTACAAAAGTAATTTATACAAAAATACATCTTATCCCTTACAGCCAGCTTGGTCGGTGTATTTTTCGTCCAGTGGTTCTTTCAAATTATAATCAAAATTTGATGCAGAAATTAAAAATATATATATATATATATATTGAATGATTAAAACAAAACATCAACTATCCAACCAATTTTTTGTCTTCCCTTTTCTTCATCAACTGAACGAAAAATACACGGACCCAGCTTTTAGTGATTCACTTGCCTTGTGTCAGGAGACAGTGGACATTGGAGTGTTGTGGGGGCAGGCACTGGTTCTAATGTAATCCAGGTCTCAGCTTCTTTGTATTGGCGCACAAACTGATGAAACTTAACTTGTTTTTTAAAGGAACCGTGAAAGAGGGAGGCAACCATGGCCTCCGTTAGTCCACAATCTCTACAGTTTCTCCATCAACATCATTCTCTAAAAATAAATGAATCACACACATACATGCCACACAGACACAGACAGGCAGACAAATACGCAGATTAAGTACACAATTATTTATTACGTGCACAGTGGCGTGCAAGACTATCGCAGCTCGGTTCGAGGATCAGAAACCATTGACACTGCAGATGAGCCAAAGAGCTAGCGTTAGCTCACATGTAGTGAAAATCCTAATTTGGTTGGAATGTTCCGCGTTACGTTGGTTGTCTGTAAATATCGCTCAAATGTACAGTTGTGACTTTTTGACATCAATTGTGATCTCAAAGCGTGGCGCCATAACTACAAACCTAGCCACATTAGCGCATCTACCATTAGCCTCGTCCCGTTCACTGAGCAGGGGAAAGTTGGGGTTAGCTTAGGCCTATGAAGCGGGTCGCATTGACACTACGGAACAATGCGCCCCGTTCCAAAGGCCTCCGCATCCCGAAGCATGAAAGACCCACCTTGTTACGCCACCAGCATTCGGACCGCTCCTCTCCGTACCGTAAATCCAACCGCGGCTTTTCTTACTCTGCTCAGTGAGCACCATAGACTGTTTGCGAGCACACGAAGCTAATGCTAGAAGCGCTCGTGTATGGTCAAGCATTGTGTTACCGTGAAAAGGGCTCGGTTTGCGGTTATAGTGCCACGCCGTTAGAGAGCATGATTGATGTCAAAAAGTCACAATTATACATTTGCGCAATATATAAAGACCACCGATGTAACGCGGAACATGTTTGTTAAATCAAATTAAATCATACTTTAGATATTTGAACCTGAGTTAACACGTTAGTTGCTGTATTATATGTTAGTAATTCCATATAAATGTAAATGACAAACTACATAAAAAATAGCTGATTTTTGTACTAGTTAATAGTCTAGTTGCTAGCTAGCTAAATACTGAAAAGGTAGCTGGAGGCCATTACATAGTTATCAAATATTTACTCTAATGTAGAATGATTTAATTCATAAAGAGAAAAATAACACATAACTTACCCCTGAACTTCCTTGCTTCCTCCTCGGAAATATCGATCCCTGCCTCAGATAATTTTTGAAGTAAGTCTGTGGTAGAAAGGCAGCGTAGACCTGCACAATCCGCCATTTCGATGTTTTGCCGCCTTTTGCTGTTGCCAGGGAGGAAATCTCCCCTGACACTTGACTCCTACAGGTACAGTTTTGTACCCTTTGCTCTGACCAGTAAGACTGTACCTCTCAAATTAAATAAAGGTCCACAGTCATTCCCCTTAAGGACCATATCTGTACTTCCAAGGAACATTCCTAAAAAATGTACCTTTTGGGGACAAAATGTTACCTTTATTTTTCTGTGTGTACTCGAACTAATTCAATTTAGATTATTAGTCATTGGCTGCTACACATATGAAACTGACTACACACATCTATGATTACACAAATCTATGATTACACACATCTATGATTACAAACATCTGCTCAACAGACAAACAGAGAGAAGCAGCTGGACTCGAAGCTGCGTCTTTAAAAAAAACATTTTCTCTGTAATTGACAGGATCTGGGTTTTTCCATAAATCACACATTTTTTATATACAATAATCTATTTTAACCCCCGGATAGTTTTACACTCCCTCTTAAAGAAGCAGTATGTAAAAATGTGTGCCAAAAGTGGTACTGCAGCCTCTCCCACTCTCCCTGACTCAGGTTGCCAGATATGCAGACGAATCCAGCTGGGACCATAACAGCTGAATAGACAAGAGAAAAGACAATACTTCTTTAACTGATAACAGCAGTTCAGAGATATTTGAATTTCTGAATTAGTTTTCCAGCCCCTAAATCTTATTGTTTTCATTTCGATGTCCTGCCCTCCACCGTTTCACCAATCAGAAAGTCTGTGATCCGGGCACCAGAACTCACCGCGTGGAGCTAATCTCACTGGTAAAGTACCATGTGGCGCAGAACTAAAAAAGGTCTTGTTATGATTCTCAAATCATTAACCACAAAACAAGGAATAAAACCAGGATTTCTATCTTTGTGAAAAAGGTGTTGGTTATAGATTTGTTGTTGACAAAACTCTTGTCTATTCAGCTGTTATGGTCCCAGCTGGATTCGTCTGCATATCTGGCAACCTGAGTCAGGCAAAGTGGGAGAGGCTGCAGTACCACTTTCGGCCACATTTTTACATATTTCTCCTTTAAGAGGTAAAAAAATAAAGTATACATACAATATCAGTAAAAGTTGCAGCACTAGCATACACTAGTCATAAACACAGCCCAGTATTTGGTTATTAGACTTACTGTTATGCCTCTGAAGGATAATCCCACATTTCTCACAAAAAACCCTACATTAAAATCCTTACATTTTGTCCAATGTTTTATTTCCTCCATAAACCGCTTTAACCTCCGTCTCTGTAGTTTCTTATGTCTTTCTGTGAAACCATAATTACATCTGAGTGAAGGCTGCTTCTATATTAAATCATATAAAATTCTAATTAAAAGTTGCATGTGATAAAATGTGTTGTTTGCTTCTGTCTGTATCAGTGGTTAAAAGCCGCTCTCTGCTCTTGGCTTTTCCCATGTTTCATTTTGTTAATTACTGCGGCGTTAGCACAGATTTGTTTGGGGCAAATGTTCGCTTTTTATTCGGAAAATGACTGAGTTCAGAGGCAGAAGAGGAGGCGGTGTCCTGAGGCCGGGAGTGTGGTTTAACCCCGGCTCACTGTGGTGTTAGTATACGAATCAAGACTGTGCCATTTGCATTAAAACCACATTGGAAAAACTGTGCAAGACAGCCCCAGTGTGCATCAGACATAACACACACCAGAGCTACTGCGACGGTATTAGCTTTTATCTCTCCAAAATAGATAATTATAATCCATTGTTTTTTTTGGACACTCAAAGTCTCTTTACATCTTTATTCTTTCTCTCCAAACACAGTGGTGATAAACTACTACTGTAGCCACAGCTGCCCTGGGGCACACTGACAGAAGCAAGGCAACCAGTCTGTGCCATCAGCCCCTCCCACCACCACTTCACACATACACAAGACTCATTCTAATGTGGGGGAAGTGTTTTGCCTAAGGACACAACCACAGTTTGGCACTTTACTTTGCCCCACTGTGGCACCTGCAGTTCCCAGAGGTTAAGTGTCTTGCCCAAGGACACAACAACAGCAGACAGTGGGAGTCAGTAAGGCGTCTTGAGGTGGACTCGAACCCACAACCTTCAGGCTCAAAGGCCAACGCTTTACCAACTGAGCTACTGTCGCCTCATAGATAGATAGATGACTAATGTTGGGATTTAGTGCTATACAAGAATACATTGAAACTGAAATACAGTAAATCTCACACAGCTATTATTCTGTAAATGTATTATAACTGTAATTGTGAGAGAACTGCTTCTGGTCCCACACAATCAAAACACACACATTTCTGCGACAGTTAGAACTTTGTGTGACGTTTGTGGACACAGCGGGGTTTCTCTCTACGATTTGAAAAATTACGTTTTTGGTTTCTTTGGTTTAGAATAAATATCTTAGTCAAATATTATGGAGACGGAGAGAACACATGAATTGGATTATGCGACAGTAGCTCAGTTGGTAGAGCTGTTGTTGTGTCCC